CACTACATTTGAAAGACAAATATTGTACTTTTCACTCCACTACATTTCTATCAAGATCCTCAAAGTAGAAAGTCGTTACTCTGTAGCAGCTTTGAAAGTCAGTGGGGGATTTTTTTCTTCTCTAAAACATGACTTTCTTTTTTTCAGACAGTTTATCAGTAATCACTCTTGTAGGGCTACATGAAGTGATTTCCCAGCATTTTTTGAGCACTGACCAGTTCCAAATGTGATATTTATTGACAACAATTCAATAATAAGAAGTTCATATTGTGGTTTATATTAGACACAATATTGTCTGATTTAGCTAATTTGTGTAAGTGAAAATATTACCTATAAAGCCACAGAGGAACTGTTGTGCGTCTCCTAATAAAACACAATAGGTGTTGGACTTGAAGCGGCACTGCAGACCATTCTGTGTGTGACATCAAAGTACAGCGAGAGCGATTCAACTGCATTTTTAAAATTTTTGTTTTGATGTCAAATAAGTCTTGCTGTTTTGCTTTTTTATTAAAGCAGTGTTGCTGTTGTAAAGTTATACAGCTACAGTTGTGTTGCTGGTTTTTAAAGCAGGTTTGATTTTTTATTTTCTTCCTTATCACTCTGTATTTACAGCGATTTCACTGTCAACTCTGTTTAAATGTGGATGAATGGCTACACATGGATGTGTCCAGAGCTGGGTGAGTAGGTGTAATCAGTAGGTGTAATGTATTCGAAGTTGCTTCAGAGGTATTGCAAGTACAGTGCCTTGCGAAAGTATTCATACCCATTCACGCTTTATGTTGCTGCCTTATGTTAAACTACTTTAAATTACTTTTTTTCCACATCAGTCTACACTCCATACACCATAAAAGTAAAGCAAAAAACAGGTTTTTAACATATTTGCCAATTTAATAAAAATAAAAAACTTAAATGATTCCACTGCATAGGTACAGTTGAAATTTAGCTCATTTAGCATTCATATTGCTTGTAGATGTTACTACCCTTCGAGTGAAGTTAACCTGTGGCAAATTCAATTGAGTGGGTTGGGCTTTGGAAAGAAAAGAACCTTAATTCCAAGCATCACGTTTGAAGGAAACCAGGCAATGCTCATCACCTGCAGAGTACCATCCCAAAAGTAAAATGTGCTGGTAGCAGCCTCATGCTGTGGGGCTGTTTTTCAGCAGCAGGGACTGAGGGACACATCAGAGTAGAAGACGAGGTCAATGCACCAAAATATTGAGATAGCCTTAATGAAAACCCAGTCCAGAGCATTCAGAACCTCAGGCTGGGCAGAAGGCTTACCTTCCAACAGGACAATGACCCTAAGCACACAACAAGAGTGGCTTATAGACGGCTCTGTCAATGTCCTTGAGTGGCCCAGCCTCATCCTGGGCTTGAACCTAATCAAATATTTCTGGAGAAACCTGAAAATGTGCATCTGCCCCCATCCAACCTGACAGAGCTTGAGAGGTGAACAGGTGAGGAGAAGAATGGCAGATAATTGCCAAATGCTGATGTGCAAAGCTTGTCGCATCAAACTAAAAAAATACTTGAGGCTGTAAAGGTGCTTCTGCTAAATATTTAGTTTAGAAAAATATTTTAATGCAATGTACTTATTTCAGTTTTTTTGTTTGTTTTTAATACATTTACGAAGTTGTGGCCATTCTGTTTTTGCTTTGCCATTATGGTGTATGGAGTGCAGATTGATGTGGGGAAAAAAGTACTTTAAAGCAGTTTAACACGAGGCAGCAACATAACAAAAAACTTGAAAAAAAATGAAGGGGTATGAATACTTTCGCAAGGCACTGTATTACATACAACAATAATAAAACAGTGCATTGACATAAAAAAGGAAATTTACTTTTGGTACTTAAGTACTTTTAAAAGCAAGTACTTCTGTACTTTTACTTAAGTAAAAATCTATTTGACCAGCAGTATCTGTACTTTCACTTGAGTAATGGAGTCGTGTAATTTGTCCGCCTCTGGTCCTAAACACTAGGCTATTCTAAATATTATTTAACAGATATAAATAAAAAAGAGGAACGATATTCCTTTCCCTGACAGAAAGATTGGGGGAAATGTTACCCCGGGAGTTATAGTGAGAAGATATGATAACACACGCTCGCATGGATAAGAAGCAAGTTGAGCTTCAGTAACAGTCGTTCCCTTCTTCAACAGCAAAGGAGGCCCCTCTGCCCAACTTGGGGGCCACCTACTTTACTGGAGAGGAAGAAAAACACTGTTGTTTCAACACCTCCAGCAGCTGAACACCCAGAGTCAGCAATAATAATGCAATGACAAAGTCTGTGGATGTGCTTTGATTAACCATTTTACATGCTACTGCAAATTTATTGCATTATACTGGAGGGAATGACATGCAAGATGCAATTAAACGAAGCTCGCCACGTTAACACCTAAGTTGACCACTCTTTTCCCAGACTTACTCTTGCATTGAAGTTCCACCATCGCCTGGTGCCATTCTTCCTGGTCCGTCTCGTTCTCCGCCGCCACCACGAAGCTCTCAGCCCGCGTGTAGAGCACTATCATGTGTTTATTCTTCGAGTCGGCCCGTTTGTTGATGTTGAAGCACGTCTCCAGCACCAAAGCCTTTTTAGGCACTGGCGCTTTACCTCTAAATTTCTTCTCACTCTCGTAGTACTCGAGCCGGGCCGGGCCGCGCTCCGAAGCCGTCCGAAGCACGAAGAACCGCCGGTGCATGGATTTCTGCTTGCGGAGATACCCGCTTTTACGGACGTCTTCTGTGCTGCTCTGCGAGTCGGTGTGGTTCTCCATGGCTCTAGGGGTCTGAAAAAAAAGTTCAGCCCTTGGAAGTACTAAACGCCAACAAATGCAACCTCCGTTGCTTCAGAAAAGTCATGTGCGCAAAGGGCGAGAGAGGTTCCAAAAAGCAGGTCCTTTCCAAAAAGAATGTCATTAAACGCTGCGCTCTTCCCGGCTGGAGTCGAGCAGAACGGGTGAGCAGCCGCGAGCTCATGCGCTGCGGCGTGCGAGAAACAGCGCAACTACTACTATTTAGAAGAAGCTTTAGGAGTTGAATAATCTCATTACGGTAGTGTACAGTAGACAGCTCCCCGTCAGCCCTCCTCTCCAGCGCAGCGTTCACTGCTACTGTGAAGCTCTGTCACTCATCAGTCTTCTGTAGTGTGTGTGTGTGTGAGGGAGAGAGAGAGAGCTAAAGCTGTGTAGAGCACGAGGTTGCGGATCAGAATCGAATTTCATTCACAACTGGACTGACCTGACTCACTCAACACTACTTGTTAGTTTGAAGCAATAAATGTTCATTGTTACCATTGTCGTCATAAATCTTTTAATTTATTGCAGATGAATATAGGAGTGACAGTAGGAGGAGAACAATGGGCAAAATACTTAAAAATAAGGCAGACCTAACACTGTTGTATCATCCTTTAATACATTCAGAAGATGCCAACCACGTTTTTTTTTTACGTGAGGAGAACAAAAATAGGTTTGGCTGTACATTATGAATAAGTCAGTAATGCAGGTGCACATTATAAACAATTCTAAAAAATAAAATCTAATACAATTCTTGATTAAATATTTTGGATAGACTTATTTAGACGAATTCAAATTGATTACTTGCGACATCTAGTGAAATAATTGGTCCATTGCAGCTTTGTATTTGACAACGTGGACAGGAATTTTAGGTTAAAAAATAACAATTATATATATATATTAGCGATGTGTGCATTTTTTAGAAGCTGCAGTGGTTCACCAAAGTAATATTTAGAAGTGCATATATGAATAGATAGATATAAAAAAGTTTTAGATTATGCATAGCACTGCAGGACATTGCTTGAAATGTCCAATAGCCAGCTATTCCAACTATAACTCTATCAGTCATAAAAATTAGACTAGGTCAGGTGAGAGGTGTAATCTATACTTTTCATTTTAATTTTCAGTTGAAAGCCCTAATGATCATAGAGTGCAAATACATTCGAAATGCAATAATGATCTTCACAGAAAAATATAAATGATGCTGTCATAAAAAGATATTGCATGAAATTCCAAAAGCAGCAAATTCAGTTTGATTTGCATCACACAGACAATACACATGGACACAACAGTTATGGATAGCTTTATGCATATGGATACATCTCGATACAAAGACATTCTATATGAATAAAGAAGAAACCATCTCTACGTTATACAAAAAAATCTTGACGATATTAGACAATTTTTGGTCCATACAAGAAACTTTTTTCCCTCATAATAACTGAAACTGAGGTACATTCAGCAGCTTCCTGCTCAGCTTGAGAAGCGCATGCAGTTTGACAATGCACACACAAATACTTATTAACGTTTGAAATGAAACGTCAACGTCAAAATAAATAGAAACAAGCCCGGCATTCATACACAGACAGAAAAGTGAAGGAAATGCCTGTTTTATTTATGCCGTCTTTTTAACATGCTTCTGAATCAATTAACCCAAATGGGCACTGAGGAGAAATGCATTACTGAGATGATCTGAAGCTACTAATTTATTGTAATGTGTCGACCTCAGTGACTGAGTGAAGTAAGTGGGCACTCAGGTTAGGGCGATATTGGCATGAGAAGTTCTGTGTGGAAAGGTCAAAGCAGCAGCTTGTGTGTGTGTTTGTGAGTGTTAATGGCTCTCATAAGCACCTTTCATCTGAAGTTCTCCTATTATCAGAAAAATTCCTCTGATATTAGGCAAAACCCACACAAATGTACACACACACACACACACACACACAAAGCTTAATTTATAGCATCTGGTACAAAAGGGTACGTACATACAAACACACTCGCGCGCACACACATACAACAAAGCATGTACAAATAGTTACACGTACAATATCTGCTAACAAACACACACACACACACACACACACCTTTAAACATACATGAAGACACACGCAGAAGTGTTGGGTGTTTTCTGTAGGTATGGCAAAGTAAACAAGCTCCACTCGCTCTCTTCTTTCTCCACGGCCGAGGTGGTTCAGATGAAAGGGTTCAGTGATGCTCCTCTACTCGGGTAAACATTCCCCTAAGAGAAGTCATAGAAACACTCTTAAACCCTCACACACACATACTAAGAAATGTTGTGTGCTTGTAAAAATAAAAAGACTAGTGCTGGGTAGATTACTTACAAACTGTAATCCATTACTGAATATAATTGCATGATAAAAATGTGTCTATTAATTTATTACATTACATCGCATTGATTTGTTTAAGATAGTCTTGTACTATATTGATATAAAAATACAATGAGAATGAAAATTTATTCAGTGCTTTGTTATCAACAACATGGAGTGCATTACACACCACATGACGGCAGGGTTTCCCAAACTAGGGTTTGTGAAGGAGCTGAAGGGGATTTGTAAATTGCTAAAAAGCTAATAATTAAAGGAACAGTTCACCCAAGAATGAAAATGTGCTGAAAAGATGAACATGTGAACGAGTTGGTTTCTTCTTTGGAACAGATTTGGAGAAGTTTAGTATTACATCACTTGCTCATCAATGGATCCTCTGCAGTGAATGGGTGCCGTCAGAATGTGACAAACAGCTGATAAAAACATCACAGTAATCCACACCACATCAGTCCATTAATTACCATCATATGAAGTGAAAAGTTGCGTGTCTGTAATAAGCAAATCCATCTTTAAAATTTGAATCATTAAACCATTGCTTTTGGCCAAAATATGTGTCCATAATAATCCATAATAACGCTTCTCCAGTGAAAAAGTCCACCCCCCCTGTTTTCCTCTTACATCAACATCCTCCGACATATTTGTTTGGACTGTTTTTGCTTGTAAACAGTGCTTGATCTTTGCATATTTTCCTCCTGATTCTAGCGAGTCAATTTTTTCATTAAAGAAAGAATATTAGAGGACTCGTATTTTAGCCAGAAGCAACAGTTTAAAGTTAATTGATGGACAGGTTGATTACGTGTGGATTATTGTGATGTTTTTATTGGCTGTTTACACTCTTATTTTGACGGCACCCATTCACGGCAGATGATCCATTGTTGAGGAATTCATGTAATACTAAAATTGGTAACACTTTCTATGAAGCCCGTATTTATAATACATTATAAGGGTATTCTTAAGGCATTATAATGAACGCATAACGCATTATAAAAAAACTTATAATATGTTATATCAACTCATGAATAATAATAACAACAATTATAATACATCAAGAGACTTATAATACATTATAACTATGAGAAATATTATATTACATTGTAAAAGTGGATGCAACGTGTTCATTGTGTTATAAATCATCATACTCTTAAAAGCTATAACCACAAATAAGTAAATATTATAATATATTAAAACTGTTCTTATGAATATTCATGAGATGATACAACATATTATAAGGTTTTTTATAATGCATTATGCATTCATTATAATGCCTTAAGAATACCCTTATAATGTATTATAAATACGGGCTTCATAGAAAGTGTTACCCTAAAATTCTTCAAAAAGAACTCATCTGCATCTTAGATGGCCGGAGTAAATTTTCAGCAATTTTTTGGGGTTAACTATTCCTTTAAATCTTAAAAATGGTAAATTAACAGAAATAATTAAAAAACAAAAACAATAAAAATAAAACAATAAAAATAGACAAAATATTTAATTTATGCTCTGTGGCCTCTCAGTTTTATGTGTAACTATAGCCACCTGACAAACGTAATGTAATCTAATTACAAGTAATTGATTTTTTGGAATCTGATTACATAATCCAGATTACATAAAATCAGTTACTTCCCAGCACTGTATGAGGCACATAGTCTGTCATTCAGTTGAAACTACGGTCTGCAAGTGATATAATATGTACGATATATAAGCACAGGTTTATTTACTACACTCCATTTATTGATTCTTAGCATAAAAAGAAGATCATGCTTACAGTAAACGGGTTGACAGACATTGGTCGTGGGACTTTAGGGACAGACTCGGGGGCAGGAAATGAGTTGAAACCTACAAAACAAACAAGCCAACAGGATAAAAATAGCAGACATTTCCAGTTCAGCTCAACAAAACGGCCTCTCTCCGTGGCCATCTGGAGTTTTCACTCTGCAGTGTCTCCTTAAGCGCTAATTCCTGACTGATTATTTAATTGATTAATGGACTATTTTAAGAACACGGGGTTTCACTGCCTTTAAGCAGATTTAAAGACTTAAGCTTGCTATACTTACCGTTTGCTTCCTGGTTACTAGACTGTTGGTGTGAAAAAGCACTTTGGGTGGTGGTGGGTGCAGGAAAAGAGACAGACTGAGGAAAGACGACTGAGGAGGAGGAGGCATCATCTGTCAATCAGAAAGACACGATGTCTTGAACACTGCAGTTAAATACAACAAACGTGAATCTATCTATCTGTCCATCCATCCATCCATCTGACATCTGATTGAATTAATCAGTCTATCCATCTATTTATCCGTCCGTCCATCATATTTATGTCTATATGTATGTGTAGATCAGCAGACATGCAGTCAGACAATATATAAATAGTGTGGTGTTTTACTTTGTGATGTAAAAGACAGTTTGCATGTTTGAAATCAGTGTTCAGGAATTCAAGATAAATGTGCTGACTGCTAAAAACAAAGTGCATTATTTCCTCTGACACTTGGAATTCAGCCAACAATAAATCCACCAGACCACTCTCTTTGCATTGGTATTTCACCAGGTGACATCGCTGTTTTTGTTGGCTTTGCGATCTACCACTAGGTTTACAGCATTTGTGGGAGTAAGCCTTTTATTTGATTTATTAGAAGTAGTTCCGCAACAATAGTTGAACACCGGCCTGTCCAATTATCAGATTCATTGCTTTATGGATTAAGTTCCTTTTAAGCCCAGTACACTCTGTCAGATTTATAGCACTGTAAAAAATGTATCCTTCACAAGACATAACTATGGGATTGTGTCCCACAATCAGATTAATGCAGACCCTTGGCTGCATAGACCTTTCAGATTTGAGAAATATATGTCATATATGTCACTGGTCAAATGAAGGCTTGGTAAATCTGCAGTCAAGAACCTATAGGGATTGAATGCATTTCTTTATGGTCAATTTCTAAGATAACCTCAGTCCATAAACATACTTTATTTGATATATTAAAGATAAAAATGGATCCTATCTTTCCAAAAGCACTGATAACATCAAACTTCAAAAACTGCATTGTGCTGAATTGCAGTCTTCCTGTTTTCTAAAAGTCTAAATATAAAGTGAACACACAATTACCTCACATACCACACATTTCTTACCTGAGGCTGTGCTTTTGAAGGGGTTACTGGGAGACAGAACGGGCTGGGCGCAACTGGTTGTAGAATTGAAGGGGTTTGGGAAATCTGAATCAGAGAGGGAAAAAAAGTGTGGTTATGTGTCACACACTGCAGAAGGTCTCTCATTAGCACAAATTGTACTTTGGATTCAATCCCTGTTGTGAATTTACAGATGTTTCCATCTCAGAGATTTTCTGAGGTCATGCTATAAGATCATCCAAATGTTGCAAAACTCTGGGAAATGGGATAATTCAGGATCTATATATGTCAATCTACTATTACTTGTTTACTCAAAAATAGTTATCTAGATAAACTACTACTCTGAATTGCTCACTTGCAAACGTTTGAGATCCAGAGGTGGCCTCTGGAACACCTGGGGAGCTAAAAAAGAGAGAAAAATAGACTGAGGGAAACGGAGAAAAAGACAATACACTAGTTCACAGAAATGCCATTAGCCATTAACAAACATCTTAACAATAATGTGGGTTGGAAGATAATGTTTTTCTATTTAGTTTTGGCTTATGTGTAATAACTTCTATTTTATTGAAAGTTGTACCTTGCAGGGGTGGAACTGGAGGATAGTCGGTTACTAAAGAGGGTGCTATACTGAGGCGGTCCATCAGAGTGAGCTGTTGTAATGGCTACAAAAGTGTAAAAGGGATGGTCAAATCTACAAACTGTATGTAGCAACAAAACCTATTAGGTTATTTGATATATTGAGATTTTGTTTGGAATTATCTTATGGATTGGCTTAATAATGTTATAAGAAAAAAAGAATAGATAATACCCAGAGCCTTCTTTCTTACCTGTGACAGGCGTGTTGTCTGAGAACACTTTATCAAGCTGTGAAAAGGCTGCATACTTATCCTGAGTGACAGGGGGCGGAGCAGCATAACTTAGAGTGCTGTGGGCGTGGCTTAGACCCCCAAAATCCAAACTCAGCGATTTAGGGAAGGCTCTAAATGGAGCTCCACCCCCAGTTGACAGAGTGCGACCTGAACCAATCAGAAAGGCCATCCGTTATTGTGCCCTAAATGCTTTTGCAGTCAGCATTATTGTTACCTAAAACTATTAAAAATAAATTTCATTAACTGAAATGAAATTTAAATAAAATATAAATATTAGATTAAACACTTTAATGAAAATGAGAAATGTTGCTTTAGCAACTCATGAAATAAAAGTTTAAGTTAAAGGGGTCATATGATGCGATTTCAATTTGTCCTTTCTCTTTGGAGTGTTACAAGCTCGACTAAAATTGAAACTGAAATAAAAAATCTATTAACCTTAACAAAAAAATCCTTAAAAAACAATAAGAAGAATGCCAAAAGCACATGCTAAAATTACTAAAACTAAAATATAAAAATAACAGCTAATTCTAAATGTTAATAAATACTATATTAGTACATAACACTGTTTGAAATGCATAAAAAATAGTTTTTAGATTTAAGAATGTAACCTCAAAATTTCCCCATACATTCTGAAAAGCATCTAAATCTTAAACATACACATGTTCAGATTCAATGGAAAAAGTCAGACACCCAGGCAATTCTATACTATATTTAAATATTTTATGACAAATGTTAAACTTTTCCAGTGCAGAACTGGTGACACAATGCTAGAGTGATGCTGCTTCTATGTGGTTATGCTTGTTCTAGAAGCATCATTCAGTGGTTGTTAAGGTATTCTGGGCGGTTGCTAGGTAGTTGCTCACTGGCCCAAGTCAAAAGTTTCTATGATATTCTAGTCTCTAGATGTGGCTCATGTCAGTCTTTTGATGTTAGTTTAGGCAGAAATCGTACGTCTGATCACTTCGGAAAAGTGCATCCCTTTCCTCAAAAAGCTGCATGAGTTGTGATGATCATACATGTCTATAACACAAAAAGCGTTATGTTCTGAAGTTTAATATATAAGATGATTCATTCACATCCTGGTATAATATGGTAACACTTTAGTATAGGGACCAATTCTCAATATTAACTGGCTGCTTATTATTAGCATGCCTATTATTAACATATTGGCTGTTTATTAGCACTTATAAAGCACATGTGCTGCATGATCATATTCTACATCCCTAATCCTACCCAATACCTAAACTTAACAACTAACTTTCTAACTATTAATAAGAAGCAAATTAGTAGTTTATTGAGGCAAAAGTCATAGTTGATGGTTTGTTAATAACCTTAAAATAAAGTGTGACCTATAATATTAATACTCCAGTACATTCTACAAATAATTCTACACATTCTTCCACATCAACAGGTTATGTGCGAGTACAGACGTGAAACAAAGCAGGCGCTGGTCTGGGCGATTTTCTAAATATACCTTTACTTTAAAGCCTGTGCCTTTTTCATTATCAAAGAGCAGATTGTCTCTCCTTGACCTGGCAGAGCTGTAATGTAGGGCTTTGAAGTAGCTGGCTGGAGCGGGTGCAGGACACATTCAATATCATTCTGTGACTTTAGCATGGCCCTGCTGGTATTTAGAAACTCCGTCTGAGGCCACTGCAGTGAGAAACATCTCTGAAGCTGGACTGAACTGGGTGATGAGCTAAGGTGTTTTTTTAAATAGCTTCTTAGCTTTTGTAGCTTGTTTCACTGTACTGGCTTGCTGTATATAATACTGTGGCCACAAACTGCTGACATTCTGAATGTATTTATCTTACACTAAGACTAGCTTGGTCATTTGATCTTGATCTAAACCACAGTCTTTCCACTGGTTTCTTGTTAACAGCATTATTCCATGGGGGTACAATTCTGCATAGCGTCAAGCTTTTCCTCTGCCCCTTTCTGTTTCTTTCTCTATGATACGCTCACATATGCACAAACATTATATCTGCACACTAATGAATGAAACATTTTCGTTTTGCTTGTCATGGCTGGCTCACTCAGCATTGCAGCCAGATGGTCTGAGGTATAGCTGTCTAGTGTCTGCATTGCACAATCACTCATAATCACATATATTGTTTAAGCGACTTACCTAAAGTAAAGCTGCTTTTGAAAGTGCTACTTGCTGTGAAATAAAGGATAAGGAAAGGAAGATGAGATTAAATGCAACTGTTATGGCTCAATAGTGAAGAAAGACTTGAGGGACAATGAATTTTTAAACACTGCAGAAATGTAGATATACATTGCGATCTATTATTTTGAGACTGTAGATTAAAGTGCTTATTTCTAATTTAATAAAAAATGTTTTATCAATTTTTAAGTGGAAAGTCTAACTCTAAAATGTACATGAATTTCATTTACTTGAATGTCACACATTTGCTTACAGCTGATTAGTGGTTTATAAATAATGCAGAATTTGAAATATTACTTTCTAATCTTGAATTATATTGAACATTTTATTTTCAATTTTACATAACTTACTTTTAATTTTAAATCATAACATTTAAAACAAAACTCTTTGTTTAAAGTTTTTAAAAAACATTCTATTTATTTCCAGGCGTAAATAAAAAGAAGCCTCAGATTTTCAATGTGGAATTTTTGGACCCTATTATATACTTACAGAAATGTATTTTATGTGATAGACACAATCCATGTGTGTGTGTCTTTTTGTACCTGAAGGACGTGGAAGGGCTGGAAAGGAGGAGGGATGATTCTGGTGTCCCATTCCAGAAGAAATTGTTCCTGGCCTCTGTCTCTCCACACCACTTAACAATGTGTCTTAGATAGAGAGCAAGGAACAGACATTAAAACATTTAAATACAAATTAAAAAGTCTAATGATACATCTGTGCTAATAATCAGGAGAGGAGGGAGGTAGACAAGACAGAAGGAGGGGGAAAATAAGACCGGAAAAGAGGAAGAAAAACAGATTGAGTAAAGGAAAGAAGAGCAGATGGGTAGAGAAGAGAGTTTGAAGGCTGTACCTTTAATGGGATGATCTCTGAAGCTCTGTGAGCGAGTTGGCCTGGCAGTGAACACCTCAGTGCGACTATCAGCTGGGGAGACAGCAGGAGCTCTGTCCCATATTGACAACTGGGACTGGGACTGTGGGAATACACACACACACAGTATTAAAAATCAGATCAGCACCCTCGGTGTGACACATTTTGGGGCTGGTTTTCAGATCAGAGATGAAAGCATGTTAGATAGCTCGATCCAAAACCCTCTTTCACTCATACAGTTCAAATCAAGCAATACATTAGAAATGTGCTCATATTAGTTCATTATTAGATCTAATTCATTAAAGTGAAATTACAGTTTTATACTTCTTTACTGACACTAAGCCTGCTTTACTCCATTTTCTTTGTAAAATAATTTTATGTAAATTTCTCTTGCATTTATAACAATAATGATATATTATTATTATTATGGACAGAAAATGCATCAAATGATTTTACAAAGAAAAATAGAACATTCGAATTGACTTTTTGTCAGTGCTTTAAAACTACACTTTCACTTAAAGCTGCAGTCCGTAACTTGCATCTTGCGGAAAAACATTGTAGCCAGAGCTACTTCTCTCTGTTTATGTCTATGACGAATCACGCAGGTACTGGGCTACTCCACAGCGGTACCTACCCGAACCAGTCTAAAATAGTCTGAATATAAACACTTATTATAGGTGTACCGTAGTGATTCAATCAGGACCGCCAAAAACACGGTTTGGAAAATGGATTCATGGTGTACTCGCTTACTATATAAATTTTGTAATTTTTGAACACAAAAAAGTTACGGACTGCAGCTTTAAGTGAAAGTGTAGTTTTAAAGCACTGACAATAAGTCAATTTGAATGTTCTATTTTTCTTTGTAAAATCATTTGATGCATTTTCTGTCCATAATAATAATAATATATAATAATTATTGTTGTTATTATTATTATTAGCTTTAAAACTTTACTGACACTAAACCTATCCGTATAATCCAGTTTCCTTCTCAAATCCTTTGTAATATGCATTTATAATAATAATAAGTATTGATAATAATATTAATGAAAAAAAATTACATTAAGGATTAATTTTATTATCATTACCACCAACATTTTTGCTCTGTTAGTCTAATAATAATAATAATAATAAAATGACTTTCATTTAGCATAATAATAATACATTTAATAAACCAATATACAAAATTAATTTTTTGTAATTTCTCTCTCATTTTCTTTTTTTTAATTCCTGAGCTTTCCTCATGTTTTCCTCACCAGTGTACGGGTGGGCCGGGCAGTGGGGTTCAGAGGATGTCCAGGCGGAGGCTGATTCTGAGCGGGCCCGTGTGGAGCTGGAACAGCCTGAACCCCTGGAGCCCATGGGGACTCATTCGCATCCCTGCGGATCTTGCTCTTAGAGAAATGCCTGGAAAAACAGACACTTCTTAGTATCGCATTCTTTGACTTTCATCTATAGATAATGCAGGGACGAAAAGCTGAATGGTTTAGGACATGTATTGATCATTCAGTTTGATCCACACTGAGACACACTTTTTCTCACTCACCATTTCTTTCTCTCATATTTGTCCTGCAAGAACTCTTTCAGCTTCTGTGTGTCACGTGCGTCCAAACAGCCGTCTGTTTTGGGGTCAAATATGCAGAGCCAGGTCCTCCTTCCAACCTAATGACCCCATAAACCAAGAACATAGTTAATCTCCTTTTAAAGCCTCATTAACAAAGTTTATACAGCCTGTAACAGGCTAATCATCATATAGCACAGAGTACCTCCTTGGAGACTTCAGAGGAGAGATTTGCTAGCATTTTAATGTAAAATTGAGATTGCGCAGCACTACTTAGAAAGCATGTTGCATCTTTGTGGTTATGTTTGCAATTAACTTAAAAGCTTTATTATTACTGAACATTAATAGTTAATGTAAACATGTCAAACTGCTACTGTTTGTTGCATTACAAGGAAACTCTCTGTTCCAATATGATGTTTCTGAGGTACTTTAACAAATCAGACTTTGACCCAGATGCTCAGCGACATTAAAGACAAAAAAGGAGTTCAAATGCACACATTTTTAGCATCGAATAAGCTTAGATGCAATTTATCAGGCTCTGTGAATTGTGTATGGATTAGTAACGATTTAGCCATGTGGTTTTCATTTATCATGCGCTTCAATGTCACCACTCGCATTGATATTTGCTGTGCCTGTCCGTTCCTTCTCATACTCAAAGTGCTTTACTGACAGCAAGAGGAGGAATGAGTCAGATGAATTTTTTGCCAGTGTTATACAAGCAACGGCGCCCACCCTCTGAGCATTCAGAGTTGGCTTCAACTGCAATGTGCAAGAATCCTGTAGTGCCAATAGTGGGTGTGAATGTGTGTGTGTGTGTCGGTTGGGGAGTGAAAGAGCAGCGTCTGTACTTGTACCCATTCGCCCATTCAGATTTGCTCACACGCTCATGGGAAAACTGCAGTATATTATGTCCTAAAAACTCTCTATATATTATGCTGTGCCCACACACCATTTAAACACAGATGAATTAATTCAAAACTTAACAGAGGCTCTTAGTGTCAAGCTATCTAACATTTGCTCAATGCACTACTAAGTTAGCCTGCTTTTGTAGTTTATTTTATTGAAGACATCAAATGTTTTCAGTCTTTCATTTCTGAGGATGGACCAGGTAGTTTTACATATGCACTTTGACACACATCCACTTAAGAAATACAGCCGTAAATAAACTGTGAAAGTCTATCCCTTTCACATGTGGTATTTTCTATTAATAGAATTTAGAGTATGTTACGTATGAGGTGGTTGATATGAGACATAACATATGTCTATGCAAAATATGCTCTATATTTGCTTGTTTTTTTTTAATACTGATTTTATTTTACTTTTTGTGGCTATTGCTATATTGTTATTAAGTTTTAGCACTATATAATCTGTATATGTGTATATGTATATAATAGGTTCCCTTTTAATGTTTAATCTTAAGACTCCTATGTAAACGCCTCCTTTGCAAGTGTAGGATATCAGACCGAATCAGACAATCTAAGATTTGGTCAGAACCGAGTTGAGGCACGAGGAGTCACAAAAATTCCACAGAGGCCCCTGACAACAGGATGTCATAAATCGGCCCCCAGCCTCTCTGAAGCAAGCCTAAACCTAAGACCCTGTCACAGAACAGTTTTCAACATTAACACAAAAGAACACATTAACAAGTCCAATTTTGGGGCAAGTTATCAAGAATAATGGTCAAAAGAGATGCACAGCGTGACCGCCACATGGAAACATGTGACAGTGATCACAAGCTCCTCGTAAATTGACTTCCCCCACTTTACGACAAGAACAGAGAGACTAAAATTCCTTAGACATTTTAATCTCTGGTCTGCATACATTCACAGAATGGCACGGAAACTGCCTTTCCATGCACCTAAATGACACTAAAAGGACTGGTGACCAGCTAATAATTGCTATGCATAACTCCATATTATGTATCTAACCCACATGGTTAACCATCATGTTTTAATCATTTATTGTGTATGTATTGTTAATAACTATTGAAGAGCTTAAGGGGTCATATTCATGCTTGGTATGTGTGAGTTTAAGAATTCATGCTTGAAACGTTTCTTCCAATCAATACTTGGTCAAATGTATCATATTCTTATTATAAGAAATCATGTCCAAAATGTATACTCTACCAGAGCGGGAAAAGTAGCAGTTCAGTGCTATGTTTATTTTGACCTTTGGGTTTACTGTTTAGTCCAGGGGTCAGGAATTTTTACCATTATGATGGCAAAAATAATGTTTCCCCATTGATGTTCATTCAAAAGTAACCCTGTATTCTGATTCTGACATTTTTCCCCCAAGCATTTATCTATAATTACAACCATTTGTGTTTGATTTTTAAAATATTAATTAACATATTTTGATTATTAACTCGACATATATTAACTAGCAATATTTTTTTTTAATCAGGCACCAAATAGAGATCACTTTATTTACTTTGGGGTCCAGGGAGGGTATGATTTTGCACAAGATCTATACAAATTTGCCAACTTATATGATATCCTAAAAAGCATGTACTCTTTTTTTATTATGGAAAAGTGCATACATTAAGAGTGTAAAAAAGGGGGCATGCAAGGTATGGGACAAACTACCACTTTACGTTATATTATATTAAAGGGGTCATATGATGCTTTTTTAAAGATCATTATTTTGTGTATTTGGTGTAACAGAATATGTTGACATGCTTTAATGTTCAAAAAACACATTTTTCAAATACTGTACATTATTGTAGGTCCTCTATGCCCCGCCTCTCTCAAACGCTTGTTTTCTACAAAGTCCCTCCTTCCGACAAGCGCAGTCTGCTCTGATTGGCCAGCTGACCCAGTGCATTGTGATTAGCCGAACACCGCAAGCACTCATCGGAAATGTATCGCCCCTTACCATAATCGCGAGCTTCATCTTTCAAAATAAATGTAAAGACAGTAAATAATGTCATTAGTTTTACCTTTCGTTGCCCGAAAGGGGAACAGAGTCTCGTGACAGACACAGTGATGAATATGTGTTTGCAGTACACAAGCCGCGGTTAAGACAGCTGACTCCACTGTGATGTGACCCCTTCTCTCTCTCCCTCGCTTTCCCTCTCTCTCTCTCTCTCTCTCTCGCTCTCTCTCTCACACACACACACACACACACACA